TTCCGCAAGTTTATAAGAGATTATATTACACAATCTGCATGTATGAGGGTCTTTAATCTAATATTTGATAAGAGGTAATCTTTGATAGATATAGAAACTATCTATCATGTGGATCTTATATAATATTCTAAAAATTAAGTAATATCAAACAAACTAAATATTGTGGTCCATTTTATTTGCATCTGTTCGATAATAAGGCCCATGTTCGATAAACGAAACAATAAAGCCCATCAATGATTGCATTTAATTTGTTTTTTTATTGTCCTCCGAAATCAGAAAAAAAAAAAATTCCTCCAAAATAAGCAAAAACAATGACGTTTTCTTTTCTCTCCTAAAATCGCTCTCATTATGACACATAAGCAAAGTGACTTCTCTTTTATAAGTATAGATATAAGATTTAGATCTTTTCTTTTCGTTTAGCGGATCAGTTTCCGGCTTAACCGGCTTTTTTTCTGGCGTGGTCCAGATTTCTCCTTCTACAGATTTACAGTACAGTGAGTCTAGAGAAGATTTCTTTATTAATTTTATGCTCTAATTTATTCTTTCCCTAGGAGTAATGATGCATTCACTCCTCCATCAATATGTATGGGCCCTTATTAAGGTGGTGAAGTGAAGTGTCCAAAGGTAAGAGGTGATTGGAGATGAAGTTTATGGATGATCGAAAATGCGGATCTGGATTTTTGCTGTTTCTGTTATGTTCTAGGATTTCTACAGAGGTTTGATTTAGAGTCTGACGGATTTGGTGGTGTTGTTGCATGATCAATTGTGCCAATTTTGCCGGCAATCGTTATTGATGAAGATCCAGCGGCGGTCATGATGAAACAGATGGGGGAGTTTCATCACCACACATGAGCGACACGTGGAGCGTTAGCCCAATCTTCTCTCTGTTCTATGCTTAATGGGTTTGGGCTTTCAAATTAATTGTAATGGGTGTGAGTTTTTTCTCAAACCTTTTGTAGAATTTGCCCATTGGGATTTTATGAAAATGGATGACAAAAAAAAACTAAATAAAAATATTTGATAGAAGAGAATAAATTTTCCATTTGTTATAAAATTAAATTATTGATTTATGGTGAAGAAACGTTTAAGAATAAAAGAAAGATTTATACTCGTAGAATCGGGGTACTAAATCAATAATGATCGAAACATCTCTTTATATATATAGATGGTGAAATAAGATTTACTATACGTGTATAGTAACAGTGGGATCCACATGAATTTTTTTTTACACGCCAAACATCTTCTGCACTTCTCTACAGTCGAGAGTTTGACTTTCACAACA